TCTCAAATCTCTGAAAGAGGTTTCCCTCAAGAATTTCCCTGTATTTAGCGCCATCCATCATTCCTTTATTTCTGACCAGTTTCCCAGTCCCTGCTGATTAAAAACATCCCCACAGCATGATGCTGCCACCACCATGCTTCACTTTTTTCTTTAAGCAATGGCTTTTTCTGGCAACTCTTCCGTAAAGCCCAGCTCTGTGGAGTGTACGGCATAAAGTGGTCCTATGGACAGATACTCCAATCTCCGCTGTGGAGCTTTGCAGCTCCTTCAGGCTTATCTTTGGTCTATTTGTTGTCTCTCTGATTAATGCCCTCCTTGCCTGGTCCGTGAGTTTTGGTGGACGGGCCTCTTTTGGCAGGTTTGTTGTGGTGGAGACATGTTGGCTGGGTGTGGTTGGGGGAATGGGATGGGAGGTTGGGGATGGAGGCCCACTTCTTTTTCTTTTCTATTCCTGTTTATTTATTATTCAACTCTATGTTTTTTCTTTATTTTGAGTGGCATCCTACGGGTACAGGTTTTCTAAACGTATAATTTGAAATGGATAATGTACCTGTAACACCCCCCAAAAAAACAAAATAACAAAATTTTCTCAAAAATAAATATAAAAGGGAACACAGATCAGGGTGTTTCATAGGCTATAGAGGTAAGATCATGTTCATGTGGGTGTATTGTAAATTCTACTGATAATACTGTATGAGCAGACTGACTGTATGACAAGTCAACATATCTGGGACATATCTGACAGGCACCCAACCATGTCATTACCTAATCAGTGTTCCTTTTTATCAAATGAATAACATCAAGCCCATCCGTCGCCTGCATAAACACTGCCATTATCTGAGTAAATAATGATTTGCCTGCATTTCCAAAATGCTGATTACAACCACCCCCCATTGTGTGTAATGCGGAGAGAGAACGTGAGAGAGAGAGACCTCATCAAATATGGATGAAATGGCTGCCGATGCTCTCGATCATAGTCCTTAATTAGCCAACAGTCAATGTTGAACTTAGCCAGATATAGAGGGGGAGAGAGGGAGGGGGAGAGAGGGAAAGGGAGACCTAATAGCCTGAGAGATGGTGAGGAAGAGGGCATGATGACTGTACTTTAACTACCTGAAAGTAAAAGTAACATTGACTCCGGCTCTCCTCTTTGAATCCACTGCTCTGTGTGACTCAGTCTGTGTATCGAGAGGGTGAGAGAGTGCAATCAGTAATGGGTGGCCGACGGCTAGCTTTAAATGGGTAATACATGGGCATTATCTACATTATAATCGCTGAGAAATAATGAATATGCCATTGGCTTCTGCATACTGTACAGGTTGGGGTCCTGGTCAGACAATTGTAGTTGTACACTCTAAGAACCTAAAAGGGTTATTTGGCTGTCCCCATAAGATAACCCTTTGAAGAACCACTTTTGGTTCCAGGTAGAACCTATGTGGTTCCAGGTAGAACTATTTTGGGTTCCATGTAGAATTCTTTCCACAGAGGGTTCTACATGGAACGCAAAAGGGTTCTCCTATCGGGACAGCTGAAGAACCATTCTGGAACCCTATTTTCTAAGAGTGTATGTGCATTGGTGTGCAAAAAGTGTCTTCTCTCTTGACTAAAATTTTAGCAATTGAAAGAAAAAGAACATTGTTCTTCCTATAAATAGCTCTCGTATACAGGTACACTCCATTATAACTCTTACAGTCTACTATATGTAGTCTATGGTATTTCTTCCTTTTGACAAAGATCAAAGAAGTCTCATCTATGGTAACTGGGCAGAAGAAGACATCAGCAGCCGAGTCTGAGGACGAGTGTCCTGTCACACTGTTTGCACATCCTCTGTTTACACATGCTCCCTCCCAACACTTTTCCTTTCCCTTCGTTTCCCCTTACTTAGCAATATGTGTATTACCATCCCATAGATTTCTTCTCACACAGGAAAATGAACCCAAACAGGCCAACATGCGAAATTAAATTACTCAACTGTAAAAGTTAGCATGCGGGAGAAAGCCAGACTATGGAAGGCTACGTCTGAACCGGGGTTCAAAAGGCCTGGTGTTAACTTTGTCCTCCTGTATCTTATGTTAAGGGAGTCAGTAAACCTTGATCCTTCTTTGATCTCTCCTCATCAAAGGAAGCCTCAAGGTCAGAGGGAGGCTACATGAGCCAGAGGTGCGGATGTCAGAGAAACACAGTATTAGCTCTGAATTATACTGTGGGAATATGTGTCATCTCAATGCTGATACAGTAGAGGATATTGGGTATACTGAACGGCCACTTAGCTGTGCCTTTACATGAAATATTCACAGTTAGCGAAAGAGAGAGAGAGAGCGAGAGAGAGGGGTGTGGTGTCGCTCTAGTAATATTCTCTCAGACAAAGTGCAATACTTCAGAATGCTGTCACGTGTTCCATTTTTTTTGGGGGCAAAAAAAAAAGGACGTCTATTCTGAATATCTTGCTGAACAATTACCTAAATTGTTCATCAGAGTACTTTACAATGGGCGTCTGAAAAATCTGGTGGTGTGGGGGACACACACACATTCAAATACCTGATTACTAAACTGGAATAATGCTCATTGAGTGAATGCGTTGGTATTTATTTTAAAAGCCATTACGTAAGGTAATGAAATCAGGCACTCTGGGGGCTGGTGGCTCACCACTGGATTACTGTTTACTCCACAATAAAAGGGTGCTGCTGAGATTGTAGCCTTGTTAAAAACCCACTCGTTATTCAGGGGAGAAAGTAGGCGAAAAGTGGGGGGGACGATAACTCACAGTGCGTCGATAGATGAACTAAATTGGCAAAAATGGTTTCGTAATATGGATGGTTACCTAATTAGGACTGGGTCCAGTTGCACCGAATGAACCCCAATTTCAAACTTTATCCTTAATAAGGGATTTGAACAGCAGAGAATCGCGCATTAGTATTTTATCTATTTTTCCAAACACTTGTGTTCTCTGCATGTGCTGCCTACCTGCCACATCGTCTTCCACATTACCCATAATGCTGTGTGTCTTTGGGTATTGTTAGTGTTAAGCTCGCTGTCCTTCTGCTGTGTTCTACATTCATAACCAGGGGCTGAAATCTCCAAGTAACAACGCTGAGTCGTTGAGACATTATGTCAGCGGGAAGAGAACTGAACCACTAACTAAGTTAGGTTCTTCTTCCCATTGTAGCTCAAAGGTTAGAAGTCAGGTAGGCTGTCATATGGAACACCCACAGGGTGTGATGCTTTAGCATGGCAGCCACGTCTGGCGACTTTGACAACTAATTTGCCCTAACATTTTACCGAAAAGGTCAGACAATCTTCTCCCCAGGATCATGAATAGTGGATAGGGCTCAGAAAGGTTTGAAGAACCACTGAATAAGGCAGGTGTAAAAGGGTTTTCATTTACTGCTAGGGTTGTAGGAGTGGAGGGAACGCTTGTCAATGTCCAGTTGGGACTTCTGAAGAATCTCTCTAAATCAAATGATATGTTTCGACCCATTTTCTTCAGAAAAGGCTATTTTCTCAGAGAAACTTATGAAATAATCTTATTTTAAACCCAGGTAAAAGTAGTGTAATTGTCTTTTTCTGAATAATTGTAGGCCATGCACTGCCACAGAATGTGTTGTTTGTTTGTGTCTTGATTTAGCGACAGACTTTACTTGATACTTCTCTATTGTTAGTATAATATCATTGATAAAATGGAACATGGTTGCTGTGGGAGAAGCTACAATGTCCTGCTCTGAGAAGTGTAGCTAGCCACCGGTTTGTCGTGAGGACCTGGACAAAAGGCGGGAGATAGCCCTTAGACACACAGATTCCAATAGCTCCAGGAGTCAACCATAGTTAACTGATCAAAAGAAGGGCCTGAGGTTGTTTTTAAAAAATCGAGTGAGTATATTTTAGCACTTAAAATCACTTTTTGAAATATCAAAATAGAGCGCGAAAAATGCTCTACAAATAGCAAGACAACCACATTCCCACTCAACAATCCTAACCCCCACACGTCCAGTGTCCATGTTGAGAAGCCTTGATAGGGTTATAGAGTCTTGAGACCTGTAGCTTCTCAATTAACTTACTTTACCAGGAGACTGAGTACTGTATCTCCCCATCCAAAACATCCAATTCCCAGCAGGCTCTCTGATCAGATCGACGTATGTGTGACATGCATTTGTTCAATTAAAGCCATGGTGGAGAGCCCTAACCAGTTTATTACCTTCTGCCTGGACGACATTGATCAAGCCGTCGAGGTTGACTCTTCACAGTGTGGCGTGACAGCTTAATCCGCTCCCTACACAACTCCCCACTACACACTTGTGTGTTCCAAACAACATTATAGAGCATTCTATACGGTCATAAGCAATTTTCCACCACGCATCAGCAGAAAGAGAGCTAACCAAGGTAAGTGGGGTTCTGGGTTGATTGGATGAGTTATCTGAGATTCACTGGTCTTCTATCGGGACCAGAAAACAACCGGTTGGTTTAATGTCTGTTTTAGACTTTCTTTTAATTTATTTTCATTATTTGATAATTTCTATCCTTAAAAAATAATGAAAATGTACAAAACCAATGTACGACAAACTGCATGGAGACAATATAAAAGGCCAGACACACTAAGATACTACTTGGAATGTGCATTTTGATTCAATGCCAAAGGAGGAAGTCATCAACCAATCAATTATAAGGGAAATCCACAGCATGAGATTAAATTGGTGCATGGAATAACAATTATATAGCAACAGGAAATGTTTCTGAGCCTACCCTCCAACATTTCTAATAGGGTCAAAGTATGACAGTTATATCACAATCTGGCATATCTATCACACACACACACACACACACACACACACACACACACACACACACACACACACACACACACACACACACAAAGCGGTTAGAGCTAATGGTATTAGCTTAGCCTATGTTTAACATTCATTAACACTGAATCCCAGTGAAATATCTAGGCCATGTGTGATGCCAGAGAAAACAGCCAGCCACGCTGTAGGTTTGATGTGTTAGATCTATTTATCCGCATCTGCCGCCCAGTCTCCCTCTGCCGCCCATTCTCCATCTGCCGCCCAGTCTCCCTCTGCCGCCCAGTCTCCCTCTGCCGCCCCGTCTCCCTCTGCCGCCCCAGTCTCCGTCTGCCGCCCCGTCTCCCTCTGCCGCCCCGTCTCCCTCTGCCGCCCCGTCTCCCTCTGCCGCCCCGTCTCCCTCTGCCGCCCAGTCTCCCTCTGCCGCCCAGTCTCCTTCTGCCGCCCAGTCTCCCTCTGCCGCCCAGTCTCCCTCTGCCGCCCAGTCTCCCTCTCCCTCTGCCGCCCAGTCTCCCTCTGCCGCCCAGTCTCCCTCTGCCGCCCCGTCTCCCTCTGCCGCCCCGTCTCCCTCTGCCGCCCCGTCTCCCTCTGCCGCCCCGTCTCCCTCTGCCGCCCCATCTCCCTCTGCCGCCCCGTCTCCCTCTGCCGCCCCATCTCCCTCTGCCAACCCGTCTCCCTCTGCCACCCATCTATCTCTGTCTCTCTCCCTGTCTCCCCCCATCTCCACCTCTTTTTAAAATTCTAAATGATCACAGACCAAGCCCAGCCAAGTGCAACACACATTTTGTTGCAGTGAGGTTCTAGCGATAATCTCCTTTTCCCCAGAAAAGCGCCCCTTAACGCCTTTGACAAGGAGAGAGATAAATAGGCAGGTGGTTAAAGCCAAGTGACAGCTGTTGGATTTTTGTATTTTTTATTGTGTTTCGTATAAACTGTGATCTGAGCAGCAGACCAAAGTAAACCAAAGGGGAATGGAGGAGAGTCCTAGGAGGGGGGATGCGTCCCAAATAGCATTCTATTTCCTATGGGCCTTTGTAGTAGTAGTGCACTAGATAGGGAACAGGGTGCCATTTGGGATGCACAGAAGCGCTTTCTCTTTAAAGCCTTGCAGATTTCCCCCCTGGTCCTCTGCATGGCGAGCGGCTATTTGATTATTCATTCGATTAATTTATCCAATAGGGGGTAAGTGAGGAAGGTTCTTCAAAGCACCTCCATAAAGTCCCTGCTCACATTAACCCCTCATTATAGCATTACTGTCTATGACACCAGTCCATGTTGGAGGGAGGGCATTGACAGTGGTGGGTCAGATGTGGATTGTCAGATGAAAGGGAGACTGTAGCTGAGGGGAGTTGCTATTTGTTCGCTTCAGGCAGAATTGAGTCGTTCGTGTATCTGCAGAAGGCAGTGGTGGGAAAAGGAATCTATTGTCATACTTAATTAAAAGTAAAGATACCTTAATAGAAAATGACTCAAGTAAAAATGAAAGTCACCCAGTAAAAGTATTTGTTTTTAAAATATACTTAAGTATCAAAATGTAAAGTATTAATAATTTCAAATTCCTTATATTAAGCAAACCAGACAGATAGCCAGGGGCACACTCTAACACTCAGACATAATTTACAAACAAAGCATTTGTGTTTAGTGAGTCCGCCAGATCAGAGGCAGTAGGGATGACCAGGGATGTTCTCTTGATAAGTGCGTGAATTGGAAAATGTTCCTGTCCTGCTAAGTATTAAACATGTAACGAGTACTTTTCGGTGTCAATGGAAAATGTATTGAGTAAAAAGAACATTTTTTATTTAGGAATTTAGTGAAATAAAAGTAAAAGTTGTCAAAAGTATAAACAGTCAAGTAAAGTACAGATACCCCAAAAAACTAAACATTTTTACTTAAGTACTGCACTTTACACCACTGGCAGGAGGTTAAGTCTCTGCAGGTGGGTGGACCCACTGCATCAGGTAACGTCTTTCCTCCCAGCATATGACTGCATTCACACATGTATAATGAAGTAGAACTCCTACGCAAAAAAAATAAAAGTCAGATGTAGGATCTTAATTTGATCACTATTTTGTTCCTGAGCAGGAAATGCAAACTTGTAGTGTATTCGAGGTTTAAAAAGGCTTCTAAAGTTTGTAATTTTCACTTTCAAATGTCAAACTTGATTTGCCCTAACAAAAAATGTATCAGCCCCTACAAAACATGTCCATTAATTATAATCCACATAATTATTCACATTTCCTGTTGCTGCAGGATTATTTTCCTGCTTTAGCAAACTGCCTCAAATTAAGATCCTACATCTGTATAGTAATCATGCCGACAACAACACTGGTAGCCATTTTACTACCAACACCATTTTCTTTCCAACACCAGAGACAAGGTCCCTTAACAAATATTGAATCTGATCTGTGTTTAAGGTCACATCATATTGTATTTACCTACACATTTTCTGGAAATGAATGAAGAGAAAGTGAAGAGGCGGAGGAGGAGGAGAGAGGGAGGAAGGGGAAGAGAAGGCCAAATACCACAATCAACTGCCATAACCAGCAGAATCCCTGAAGAATATTCCCCCCTTTTACAATGGAGGGAGGGAGGCCCTGAATGGCGACAAAAACGTTGACTCACTCAAGTGTTACTCTTTTTCCATTATGAAATGGAGGGATAGATGGGGGAAAGATGAAAGAGAATAGCTTTATTCGCATTTCCTCCTCTGGTTCGGGCCTATTCATCTGGATGGCCTATTGATCTCCATTTTACCAGCCCATTTCCCTGAACGCCACCACCTGTTTTTCTCCGTTTCACTGCAGCCGCCTGCATGTAACTGTGCCGCTAAATAAATTAGGAGAATATTGTACTGTTTGGGTATACAGAAAGGAATTCCAGTCCATCATCTAGCCTTTATAACTAGACAACCATCAACACCATCCAAAGGAAAGGGCAAACAATGCAATTGCATTTCCTTAAATTGAATATTTACCAATTTCCTGTGTATTGCTGTGCAGAACCTAAATGAAATTCTGAGAAGAACTCGGTTGTACTTAACATTCACAGAGTAGAGGAGCTCTTTCTCTCACTCTTATTTTGAGGCTCTATGAGGAGAGAGAGCTGACTCGATGGGCGCAGATACTGTAGACACACAGAAACCACACACACACACAATCATAGGCTACACACCCCACACACTGGTGAAGAAGGAGAGGACCCAAACGCCAGTGGCCCAATCTCGACCCAGTTGCTTAACAGCACGGTAGCGGGGGGTCCATTTTACTTTCGTAACACTGCCCTTTAGTGTGTAAGAGATGGGCATTCTATCTCTCTGGGTCGAGCCCAAGTGTAATCTCTCCATGTGTCACACGGCCAGGCAAAGACTTCTGTGGCATTTCACATTTTCCAAAAATTACACAGGTAGGGCACACATACAAAGAGTACTCACCTTTCCCACATTGGAAAGACAAGGGAAAAAGGGGGCAAAAAAGAAGAGTGCTCTCCTCTATTGTAAACACAATAAATAAGAAAGGGGGCAACAGAAAAAGAAGAAGAAGAAATGAAGAAGTGGCAAGCCTTGACTGACTGAAGGCAGGCTGTCTTCTTTCGTCTTGAACCATGGACAGACAAATCTGGTTATGGAAGTGACGTGACGAGGAGTGTCAGGCAGAAAATAGGAAAGTGTCAGCACCCCTCAAAGCGCTTGCATAATAGACGTACACATGCCAAGCGACTCAAAATGTGCTTTAAGGATTTGCCTCGCGCCTCACTAGACAAAAGATGACCAATTTAGACCTGTCCTGTTGTGAAGGCTGCTTCACCCTCTTAAGAGCACAGACACCCTTTTGATGACTACATTTCAATGGAGTTTCACAAGGACATAGCTGTAGCAGCCTCCGATGCTTTATGTTCCACTTAATAGCTACACTGATTGCTTCTTTGATTATATTTTCAATCATTCAAAGACAGTAAAAGTACATTTGAAATTGCACACTCAATTTTACCCCCTTATAGAGAGTATATAATACTCCATGGTGGTTAGATGAGAGGATATTAGAGTTGGCGCCGGATAATGCACAGATCATTTTGATAGAGCAATGTAATTTATGTGTGTGAACCGTGTTTGACATGACCAGAGTTGAGTGAAAGTCCTTGTGTGACTTATTGAACTCTGGTTTACTTGAATGAGTGTGTCATGGATGTTATGTGGGCATTGTTTGGGACAATGTGCACTGTAGCTAAATCAAGACGTATCTAGGCATTCATCTAAAAGACTACCATACACTATTATAAAGGGCTGAATATGACCTATATGATCATACACTACATGACCAAAAGTATGTGGACACCTGCTCGTCAAACATCTCATTCCAAAATCATGGACATTAATATGGAGTTGGTCCCCCCTTTGCTGCTATAACAGCCTCTACTCTTCTGGGAAGGCTTTCCACAAGATGACTTTCTTCCATTCAGCCACATGAGCATTAGTGAGGTCGGGCACTGATGTTGGGCGATTAGGCCTGGCTCGCAGTCGGCGCTCCAATTCATCCCAAAGGTGTTCAATGGGTTGAGGTCAGGGCTCTGTGCAGGCCAGTCAAGTTCTTCCAAACCGATCTCAACAAACCATTTCTGTTTGGACCTTGCTTCGTGCACAGGGGCATTGCAATGCTGAAACAGGAAAGGGCCTTCATCAAACTGTTGCCACAAAGCACAGAATCATCTAGAATATCATTGTATGCTGTAGCGTTAAGATTTCCCTTCACTGGAACTAAGGGGCCTAGCTCGAAACATGAAAAACAGCACCAGACCATTATTCCTCCTCCACCAAACTTTACAGTTGGCACTATGCATTGGGGCAGGTAGCGTTCTCCTGGCATCCGCCAAACCCAGATTCGTCCGTCGGACTGCCAGATGGTGAAGCGTGATTCATCAATCCAGAGAACACGTTTCCACTACTCCAGAGTCCAACAGCAGCGAGCTTTATACCACTCCAGCCGACGCTTGGCATTGTGCATGGTGATCGAAGTCTTGTGTGCGGCTGATCGGCCATGGAAACCCATTTCATGAAACTCCCAACAAACAGTTATTGTGCTGACGTTGCTTCCAGAGGCAGTTTAGAAGTTGGTAGTGAGTGTTGCAACCGAGGACAGACGATTTTTACGCGCTACGTGCTTCAGCACTAGGCGGTCCCGTTCTATGAGCTTGTGTGGCCTACCACTTCACAGCTGAGCCGTTGTTGCTCCTAGACGTTTCCACTTCACAATAACAGCACTTACAGTTGACCGGGGCAGCTCTAGCAGGGCAGAAATATGATGAACTGACTTGTTGGAAAGGTGGCATCCTACGACAGTGCCATGTTGAAAGTCACTGAGCTCTTCAGTAAGGCCATTCTACTGCTAAGGTTTGTCTATGGAGATTGCATGGCTGTGTGCTTGATGTAATACACCTGTCAGCAACAGATGTGGCTGAAATAGCTGAATCCACTAAATTGAAGGGGTGTCCACAGACTTTTGTATATATAGAGTACTTAGGCCACACGTCATATTCCACATACCTAATATTGTATCTTAATTAATGTACAGATACAGTACATGTTGAACAGTGCTCTATCAGGTAGAGAGATGATAGATGGATATATTTCACTTTCTTACATTTTCGTATTATGTGTGTATTGTTTTGTATTGCTAGATATTATTGCACTGTTGGAGCTAAATAACACAAGCATTTCGCTGCACCTGCAAAAACATCTGCAAATCTGTGTACGCGACCAATAAACTTTGATTTGATTTAGACTCAGATTGAGAACCACCTCCTCTCCTCCCTCCTTTAGTGCTGTCTGCCCCGTCCAGATTGCCTCCTTCAACTCAATAAAGGAGCAATCCACTTCCCCCTATAGAGGCGTCTCTCTTAAGCCTCTTAGCAACAACCTATGAATTGATCTGCTAGACCAGAGAGGGAACGAAGGAGAGAGGCAGGGAGGGAAGAAAAGGAAAAGGTAATAAATTGGGAAGAAAGGAATACAGATAGACGGAGAGGGGGAAAAACACTGGAAGATAAATGAAATAGTGACAGAGTGGAAAAGTCAGTGGGACAGGAATAGAGAGAGAGAGAGAGAGAAAGAGAGAGAGAAAGAGAAAGGAAGAGAGGATTAACGGGTATTGTATTCCTGACGGGGCATAAATTAAGCGGGGGAAGACGACAAAACGAAAGACAAAGCAATATCAACTCCAAATGCCCCATAACCCCTGGTCCTCAGGGAGATACTTAAAGACCATGTGCATTTTTCCCCCTGTCACTTTAAAACCTCCAAAGCACGACGAATGAAGCAAGACACATTTTCATTTGAATACACTCACGGGAGGGGAGACTTGGGGATTGGAGCGAAATCCCTCCAAAAGCAGAGCCATTTCAAGCAGATCATTTCCATTGTCTTAAATAGCTAGATGTGTAAGTTCAGGAAATAGCACAAATAATATTTGAGAATAGTTAGAATCACATAATTAACAACTTCAGTAAATAATGGTGAATTGGAGAAAGATTGTGTTACTCTTTAATTGAATTTCTAGGGTATTAATCACTTTGTTTCGATGAAAAGTGTCACCTGCTTCCATAATCACTATGTCCAAGTGAACAAAATGGTGTGCCTGAGATAGATAGATGTAGCCTATACTGTATTCCAATGATATTGTATGCAGGGATCTAACCATGGCCTCTTCCCAATGTGGGCCCTGACCCAACAGGCAGCCACACACATGACCGGCGGCCATCTTAGCACAGGGCACAGGATGGGCGTCGTCTGAATGGCAAGGCTGGTGGACCGAGAGCCAGCGAACCCAACTCCCATTCAACATCAAGTGGATCCGGTGACCAAATACAATTAATGGACGTTAAGCTGCCAAAGTCACAATTCATGGGCATCATAGAGTAGCGTTCAAGGCCACACACACACGTTGAAATGGTCACATTTGGAATTGCTGCTCACAAGTGGAATGCCCACTCCTCAGCCTTTTGACTGTGTTACCACAAAAGCAGATTGTGTGTGTGTGTTTGTGTGACTGTGTGTGTGAAGGGGGAATTAATCGCCTGTGAGAATGGGCATGGGTTTACTGTGCTCCTCCAGGACATCAGCACTGTTAATCTCAAGGCAGCATCTGGGAGAGTCGATGGATGGAAAAGAGAAGCACATCAATGCCTCCCTCCAAAAGGCTCTGCAGCAATTCAGCAGTACAGTGGGACGCCATTCAGCTCTTATTCACCTGCTCTTTTCCAAGGCGGAGGGAGGGATACTGTTTGTAAAAGGGTTTGTTTGCTTTAATTGTTTCCAAACCCTTCTGAATGAAAGCAGCCGGCGATATGTCAATATGAGAATACCAATAGCATTGTAGGGAACAAAGGGAATGTGGCATAAATTAGATGAAAAAGATGTAAGCGTCTTGGTAGGCTTTGCAGATTAGACAGAGTAGAAGAATGGTGGTGGTTATCATACTGGAACGTCATGTTGATACGGTACATGATACAGTATCATTATTTTATTGTTGTTTGAATCTACCGTTTTGAGATACAGTCAAAAGCACCCATAAAACCTAGAGCTCAAACAGGAAATGGTTCCAATCATTTTTCCACCATACATTTTTTCCCATAGGGGATTTTAGAAACAAATAAGGGCTGTGTTTTGTGTAGGCTTACCCTGGCGTGACGTTTTGATAACCATGTAAATCTCTCTCGGACAAGGTGACTTTTATCAATATATTCGCCTGAATTTACCTCCCAAAATTGAAATGCTAATTAGCTGCTAATGTGGCTATCATAAAGAACTACAAATGCAATGATGATCTGGACAAGACTGCCGAATTGAGGAAAAGGTAAGAAACTCTGGATTAACTATCTAATGTTAGCTAAATGTAGTAATGAATAATTAGGCTACATTTCTTTAAAATTGACAATTCTGTGAACTGTCTTGTGCACGTTTTAAATTGACACAATACCTGTTAGCAAAGGTATTAGCTAGAGATAACATGCAGGAGCTTGCAGGGATTTTGTAGTTTTGTATGACGTCTACTTTGATGCTAATTAGCATTTTGGAATCTGAGCCGAATATATATTGCCAAAAGTGACGTTGTCCGAGACAGATTTACATGGTTATCAAAATGTCACGCCAGGGTAAGCCTACATGAAACCCAGCTCTTATTTGAAGTGTTTCTAAAATCCCCTATGGGAAAAATGAATGGTGGAAAAAACGATTGGAACCATTTCCCTGTTTGACCGCTAGGTTTTATGGGTATTATGACACCTCCACTGTGGGGCTCTATACCGTGTCATACTCATAAAGACAAGCCTCTTACTCTGTACTCACTTTGAGCACTGAGCACTCTGTAAGCACTGAGATTAAATTGGGGATCTTTAGCTTTACACAATAACTACGTTACTGGATAGACAAAGCTTCAACTCATAGGTAGCTTGGGCAACAAAAGTTCAAATATAAATACATAAAAATATATAAACTTGGACAAGACATAATTCTCAGAAAATTTGAACAATAATATTCAAAAGTAGGTTAATCCCCTTCTGACATCAGTACCATAATACTCTCTTGTGTACTGTGTTTACTCCCCTGTACCCTCACGGTAGACATATCTAGGAAACATTGGCGTTTCTGGCCAATTTTTTGTCTCTTTTCTCTGCAATAAGAACAAAATCCATAATCTGGTTTGTATCATCCAGACTAATCTCCCATAACTACAGTACAGTCCCCACTCAACCTATAATCCCATATTTCCACCAAACATCAAACTCCTATTTTGTTCCCAAAGCTTATAGATTAACTCTGGGCCTGGATGTCCCAGAAAAGAAAATATCATTAGCTTTGATCAGATTGATTAAGAGTAGTCAGAGTAGTGGGATCCGCTTGGCATGTTCCTCAGCTCCAAACAGATCACTGGGGAACTCGTAGAGACTGTATCTTAGCTGTGGATTTACTCTGATTCTGTATGACTTGAACAGTCTCTGTCTCCATGTGTGTTTGGCTCTGTCTGACCATGGGCATACCATGGCATGACACTCAGAACAAAACAACGTAGATATATAAAGCAGAAATGTAAACTGATATGGTTTCTTTAGCGTTCCAAATAGAGCATGTCTGCTCTACATTATATGTCAATAGTCTTTCTGAGGTGAATACCGGTCCGTTGTAGCTCAGTTGGTAGAGCATTGCACTTGTAACAGTAGGGTAGTGGGTTTGATTCCCAGGAGCACCCATACGTAAAATGTATGCAGGTATGACTAAGTTGCTTTGAATAAAAGCGTCTGCTATATGACATATACGTTATGTCACTGTTTAAGTATATATAAGTGTATATACAGTGAGGGAAAAAAGTATTTGATCCCCTGCTGATTTTGTATGTTTGCCCACTGACAAAGAAATGATCAGTCTATAATTGTAATGGTAGGTTTATTTGAACAGTGAGAGACAGAATAACAACAAAAAAATCCAGAAAAACGCATGTAAAAAATGTTATAAATTGATTTGCATTTTAATGAGGAAAATAATTATTTGACCCCCTCTCAATCAGAAAGATTTCTGGCTCCCAGGTGTCTTTTATACAGGTAATGAACTGAGATTAGGAGCATACTCTTAAAGGGAGTGCTCCTAATCTCAGCTTGTTACCTGTATAAAAGACACCTGTCCACAGAAGCAATTAATCAATCAGATTCCAAACTCTCCACCATGGCCAAGACCAAAGAGCTCTCCAAGGATGTCAGGGACAAAATTGTAGACAGTTGGGGCGATTATTCGCAAATGGAAGAAACACAAAATAACTCTCAATCTCCCTCGGCCTGGGGCTCCATGCAAGATCTCACCTCGTGGAGTTGCAATGATCATGAGAACGGTGAGGAATCAGCCCAGAACTACACGGGAGGAACTTGTCAATGATCTCAATGCAGCTGGGACCATAGTCACCAAGAAAACAATTGGTAACACACTACGCCGTGAAGGACTGAAATCCTGCAGCGCCCGCAAGGTCCCCCTGCTCAAGAAAGCACATATACAGGGCCGTCTGAAGTTTGCCAATGAACATCTGAATGATTCAGAGGAAAACTGGGTGAAAGTGTTGTGGTCAGATGAGACCAAAATTGAGCTCTTTGGCATCAACTCAACTCGCCATGTTTGGAGGAGGAGGAATGCTGCCTATGACCCCAAGAACACCATCCCCACCATCAAACATGGAGGTGGAAACATTATGCTTTGGGGGTGTTTTTCTGCTAAGGGGACAGGACAACTTCACCGCATCAAAGGGACGATGGATGGGGCCATGTACTGTCATATCTTGGATGAGAACCTCCTTCCCTCAGCCAGGGCATTGAAAATGGGTCGTGGATGGGTATTCCAGCATGACAATGACCCAAAACACACGACCAAGGCAACAAAGGAGTGGCTCAAGAAGAAGCACATTAAGGTCCTGGAGTGGCCTAGCCAGTCTCCAGACCTTAATCCCATAGAAAATCTGTGGAGGGAGCTGAAGATTCGAGTTGCCAAACTTCAGCCTCGAAACCTTAATGACTTGGAGAAGATCTGCAAAGAGGAGTGGAACAAAATCCCTCCTGAGATGTGTGTAAACCTGGTGGCCAACTACAAGAAACGTCTGACCTCTGTGATCGCCAACAAGGGTTTTGCCACCAAGTACTAAGTCATGTTTTGCAGAGGGGTCAAATACTTATTTCCCTCATTAAAATGCAAATTAATTCATAACATTTTTGACATGCGTTTTTTCTGGATTTTTTTGTTGTTATTCTGTCTCTCACTGTTCAAATAAACCTACCATTACAATTATAGACTGATCATTTCTTTGTCAGTGGGCAAACTTACAAAATCAGCAGGGGATCAAACACTTTTTTCCCCTCACTGTATACACACAGTATGGTTTTTATTGGGTATTATTTTCATAAGTGAGGTATTTCCTCTGCCAAACCCAGGAAAAAAGGAATTGGTTGGCAATCTATGAGGCAGATAGAACTGTGGGGGTTGGCTTAGCAGTGAAAACAAGACAGTGTACACCGCAGATCATCAATCGCTGCCCCCACTGTCTGCCAGCGCAGGCGACCAACCAACCAACAGTGTTCCAGGGGCACCTCGGTCCCACTGACTTTCAAGGTCTTTCTGTATCATCAATCTCCAGCAACCTTTGAACGCACAATCACTGTCACTAATTAGTCCAAAGATAGTGGCGGACCACAGCCCTAAAAATAGGACAAAAACCTAGGAGCAAGGTGGATTTTGGTTCCCAGGCACGAATGAGACAATTAACCATTAGATATCTACCTAAAGTATGCGTGTCCTACTCATACACAACACACGTCTCTGAGGGTACTTATTCACTTCTTAATTAAAACACCATGACTTGGGAAAACA